GGAAGGGCGGGGGGTCGGCGGTTCCAATCCCTAGGGCCGCCTAACGGGGGTAGGCCCCGTTGCTTTGTCCAGCTTCTGCCAACCTAGCAGTTCGAAAGCACGTAAAAATGCAAGTAGAAAAAATAGGAACCCCCTTTGGTGGGAAGGTAACAGCATTACGTGCGCCTTTGGCTTTGAGTCATGCCGGCCACATGACCACGGAGACGTCTTCAGAGTGCGCTGGCTCTTCGGCTTTGAAACGGAGATGAGCACCGCCCCCTGGAGTCGGGAACGACTAGCACATATGTGCGAGGGGAGCCTTTACGTTTATAGAGTACGCATACCTACAAACTGAACTATACAACCTTCTAAGATGCTTCCCGTAGTGTACTTTTATAATGATGCAAGGATATTCTCTCAGCTCTTTATTCGAACAAAAACATGGTAGTTTGAAAACAGCATGTGTGGATCTGAATGTAATTTGCCTTTTCTTTGCCTTATTTTGCTCTGTTTATAACTTTCGGGCTTCTTACTCTTCTGTATTTTATATTTTGTGTTCTGATATAGCCTAATGCAGGGGTGTGAAACTCAAGACCCATGAACCAGACCCGGTCCACAGGGTGTTTAGATCTGGCCCGTGGGACCATCCTGGAAACAGCGAAGGACTGGCCTGTGGCGCCTCTGCCAGAGGGCTGCAAGAGCCCGTCCTAGCTGAAAAAGGAGCCCATTTTCACTGGCAGAGCACTCGGGCCACAGGCGCCTCCGATATGAGTGACGTCAAGCTGGCCACGCCCACCCTGGGCCCCCGAGGTCAAACACAACCCTGATGCGGCCCTCAAAGAAATTGAGTTTGACACCCCTTGCCTAATGTGTGACTAATCAATAAGGTATTGCTATCCGTATACCTGATTAGAGGTTGTGGCAGGTGTGAAATGCTACCAGTTCGGACCGGTTCTCCCAAACCTCGAGTAAAAAATGCTACCGGTTTGCCTGAAGCTGTAGTTCCAACTATCAGCTGTGCAACAATCAGCTGTGCCGCACGATTTATATCCGCTAGAAAGCAGGAAGGCAGACTTCAGAGCATTTCACCCCTGGCTTGGGGCTTTGCGAGTAAGATTTATTTGGAATCTTTTCTGTTTCAGAAAACAGCGACTGAACTTAAAGCGTCCTTTTAAGGAGACCCTGTAGTGCATTACCATGCCTACCTTGGCTTCTGCTCCTAAAGAACTCTATCTCTGCACTTCGTTGAAAGACCTGAATAAAAAGACCGAAGTGAAACCGGAGAAAACGAGCACGAAGAAGTACGGATGTTTATACCCAACTAGTATATTTATTTTCCCAATGTTTGTTTGATGGTAGGGATTGAGGGGACTGTGTACTTCTTCGTGGATCATTTAAATTATCCTCGCTGTTTAGAAAGCTTTTGTCACTGAAATTGTGCACTCCACAAGTTTTATTTATTTATTTTCATTTATAAAATTTATGCGGCTTATTCTCCATGACTCTGGGAGACTTATTAAACAAACAAACAAACAAAAAATCCCAGCAACTCTCAGTGTTTTCTGGATCGTAATAGACTTTTCTATATACTGTAAATCAGGGGTGGGCTTCAAAAATTTTAGCAAGGTTGACTGGTTGCTGGATGGGTGTAGCGATGGTGGGCGTGGCCTTACTCGGCCTCCTGCACCATGGCAGGGGGGCTTTTTTGCCGTCCCTTCACTCCAGAAGTTTTCCTCGAGCCTCCGAGAGGGCGAAAACGACCTCCCCAGGCTCTGGAGGCCAGAAAGAGGCCCATTTCTGACCTTCCCAAACTTCCGGTAGACCCATTTTTCGCCCTCCCGGAGCCTCTGTGTGCACCCTGCACTTACCTGCATTCAAAACGGGGCCCGTGTGGGGTGGGGTGGGCCAGCCAGGAGTGGGATTGAGGGTTCTCCAAACTGCACAGAATCTTAGCTAGAGGTTTTCCCCAACCCCCAGCAGCGAACCCCTGCAAATCCATTTCTGGGTCTTTTTATAGCGTTGCTGAGAACCGTTAGACTATCTTAAGATGGGCATCCCTTCCCGTATGAAATCAAGATTCCTTCCCTGATTGACGCTGATTCATTGTCTAAAAGCTCCTTCAATTCTTCCTTGCAAGGAAGAACTGAATCCGGCACATGCTGTGTCACTTCTAATATAATTATTTTCCTCTTTAGTTCCTATGCGGTATTCCTTAGGAAAAAGCCCAACGTTTTACCAGGGAGCAAATGCGATGGAATTCACCAAGATTTAGACTTGCAGTGGATTGTGTTATAAATGATTAATGGCCTGTATTTAAAGTATCAGCATAGAGCCTGGCGGTTTTGGCAGCCGCGAGAGAAGAGAATTGAACAAAAGTAGATCAGAATAGCCGAATGGGTGGGTTTTATTACATGATCATTTTTAATCTTGTCCGGCCTTGGAAACAGTTTTCTTACTTGTTTCTGTAGGCAAGGGTTTGTTCTGACCTAAGCAAAAATCACAATCTTAGTCCCCCAAACCCTCTTTTATTTATACGAGTGTGAATTGTCATTCACAGCCCGCAAGGCTTCGCAAACAGTCGGTGAAGATTCCGACAGATGTCTGCTCGAGTTGCCACAGTCTTTCAGGGGAATGTTGATAAGCACCCACCTTATTTCCCTTGAAATCCTGCCAGAGGCCTAATTGCCAAATTAATTTTGCAAGGCCAAACTTAGCACAGAGTCAAACAGAGCTTCTCAAAGCTTGAACCAACCAGAGGAACTAATTGCTTCCAGCAAAAGTTCACATCCCGTTCGTTCCTCTTTTATGTCTTACGGGAAGGACCAGTCATTTCCAAGCCTTACTCCTGAGTCGATTCCTGTTTTCTTAATTGCTCTTGCCTTCTGGCAACTCTACGCATACGCACCCTGGGAACAGGCTCCCACTGTTCTTCTGCCTCGCTGATGTCAGACTCTGGAGGCAGCAAATAACTACCAGATGGCCCCAGCCCCCTCTCTGCCTCCCAACGCAGAGCCCTCATCCAAGCCTTCCCCAGACTCCAGGACTGGCCCATGTTCCTCCCCAACCTCCTCACTGTTGGACTGTGTTGCCAGCTCCACAGGCCGCCGGTGGACCACAACAGGGTTATTGTTGTTATTCTTTTACAGTGTATATTTGCAGAAGGTAATGCTAGCTTTTGTGATTTCCATTCTTTGCTTCAATTTCAAGTTATGTCCAGAGTGCCGTTAAGATCTTCAAGGCAGCGGAAGAAAGCCGGTTGGACAGAGATGAAGAGAAGGCCTATGTACTTTACATGAAATATGCAACTGTGTATAATCTTATTAAAAAGAGGCCTGACTTCAGACAGCAGCAAGTATGTATTCAGTTACAAATGCCGTTATACATTTCGAGAGATCTTCAAGTATTGTGTCAAAGTTTTAAAAGAACCAGGATATCAAAACACATGATACATCATTGCTTAAAAAGTCTTTGTAAATGTGCATCCACAGATACATAGGTATCGATACAGATATAGATCTATAGAGAGGGAGTCAAATCTATATATTTTGGTCCCATTTGTTCATAATTGTAGTGTTTGTCTTGATCCATAAAACACTTTTATTTCGGAGCTCTTCATAGGTTAAGGTTAGAATGCAAGAATTCCCACAAGCGCCTTGATTTCATAGAAACATAGAAAACGGGTGGCAGAAAAAGACTCCGTGGTCCAGCAAATCTCCCCCTTTATTTGTTTACTTTTGCTTTCTTTTTTAAGTCATTTATTCATCTCATTCTGTTATTTTTATTTTTGTTGGATGATAGAAATATGTTTAACTCAAGCATGTTTCAACTTGGTTATTGATATATTTCAAACATATACATATATATAATCCCTAGTTGCTACATTACAGAGTGAGCTTATCCCGTTGCTTATCCCAGCTTCTGCCAACCTAGCAGTTCGAAAGCACTTAAAAAATGCAAGTAGAAAAAAAGGGACCACCTTTGGTGGGAAGGCAACAATGTTCCACGCGCCTTTGGTGTTTAGCCATGCCAGCAACATGACCACGGAGACATCTTCGGACAACGCTGGCTCTTCGGCTTTGAAACGGAGATGAGCACCGCCACCTAGAGTCGGGAACGACTAGCACATATGTGCGAGGGGAACCTTTACTTTTACGTACACACACACGCACAGAAACGTACGTTAAAAGAGCAAAACCCTGGTTATTTGCAATGCAAGGGAGAGGACACACCTGATTGTATTGATAGTTTTGGTCACAGCAGGACCCCCTGTATATATTGGACTCGGGGGGCCAGAGACGAAGTAGTGATTGATGCCTCTTCTAATTTCAGGACTACTTTCATTCACTCCTTGGACTGACCAATATTAAAAAGGCTATTGAAGAAGCCGAACAACTTTCAGAGAGTCTTAAGCTCAGGTAGGCCTTTAAAAGCATTAAGGTTTAATTAGTGCATTCTATAAGTTTAGTTCCTGTATTTATCTGTTAGTCACTGGGGGGGGGGGGGTATTTTTCCTACAGCTTCTGTTTCCATTTATCAAGAAATTGGAGACTCTTCAGAACATTAGGGCCATGCCTGTGGGAGTGTCAGCTCTGTGTCACACACAGGAAGGCAGAGAGTGCCGAATGAGACCTCTGACTGTATAGAACAAAAGGTTTTAAATTCATGTGCCAGATTGCAAAGGAGTTTAGCAGCATTTTTGTGTTCCTCTAAAAATTGCTCTCTTTCGGGGGGATCTTGGTGTTCTTTGAAACCAATAGTTTTATGGTAGCCTAGGTGCTCTCTGAGCTTGGTTGTTTACAATACAATACAATAGCAGAGTTGGAAGGGACCTTGGAGGTCTTCTAGTCCAACCCCCTGCCTAGGCAGGAAACCCTATATCGTTTCAGACAAATGGCTATCCAACATCGTCTTAAAGACTTCCAGTGTTGGGGCATTCACAACTTCTGAAGGCAAGTTGTTTCCTTGCAGACATTTCATTACCCAACTAGGTAATATTATCAGTGGTAGAAAGGAGTGTGGTTTGAGATGTATGTATGTACATATGTACGTATGTATGTATGTCACAACCCCTGGTATGCCCAAATATGGGAGGAGGCATACTGCTTCCTCTCTCTGTCTATCGGCTCATCACAAGAGACCATCCAGATAGAAAGCCATTATTTTTACTGTTGCCTTTGTTACATTTGTGTTTATTTATCAGCACACACACATATATGTGTGTGTGTATGCATGCATGCATGCACACACACACACACACACACACACACACTATTGGCTTGTCCTGTCAAGTTGGTGGGAATGTCCTTGACAAGGCTGTCAGGAATATTTTTTAAATGAGTTTGATACACTGTCCCTATTTTGAGCATTATGGTGGTGCAGTGGTTAGAGGGCAGTACTGCAGGCTACTTCTGCTGGCTGACTGCAATTTGGTAGTTGGAATCTCACCAGGCTCAAGGTTAACTCAGCCTTCCATCCTTCCAAGGTCGGTAAAATGAGGACCCAGATTGTTGGGGGCAAGAGACTGACTCTCTAAACTGCTAAGAGAGGGCTGTAAAGAACTCTGAAGCAGTACATAAATGCTATTGCTATTATGATAAAAAAGATAACACACAAGGCCAACTGCCAACCCTTTTTAATTTCCATTCGAGCTGCTGCTGCTATTTATTTTACCTAGTCTTCACATTTTTATTACTATCAAATCTGTTTGCCTTCATGCAAACATGTAATTTTAGAGAGGGAATCAATTCTAAACAGACTGTGTTTAAAAAGTCACACTTGCCACGCTGCATAATGCTGGGGTGGGGGAATGTCTCCTTGAATTAGATATGAAGAAGCAGAAGTGCGAAAAAAACTGGAGGAGAAAGAAAGACAAGAGGAACAGCAGCAGAAAAAACAAGAATTAAAAGACGATGCCAAAACCTCTTCAGAAATATCAACGGACCCCAACGGGAAAAATCAGCTGGTAATTCAGCCATTGTTTATCCCTCTCGTATATTTCTGCTCTACGCTATTTTTTTTTTTAAAAAACCTCTTTGTAGAAAAGGAAGCTATTTTATTTAAAAAAACGTGTAGTCGGATTGATTGCAACGACAAATACGACTTGCAAGGTTGAGAAGGAAGTCTGATATTTAAGTTAAATTCGGCATTCCTAAATTATGGAAGCTGAACACCAAATGAACATGTGCGCATGTGCGTGCTCTGGAGCGCTGGAAATCCAAAGACCAGCTGGCTGATGCGCATATGCTTGTTTTTTTGGCCGTTTTCAGGCTGTTTTTCAGGGTTTTTGGCTGTTTTTCAGCCATTTTTCAGCTGTTTTGCAGGCCCGAAAAACAGCCTGAAAAAGGCCCCAAAACAGTCCGAAAAAGGCCCCAAAACAACCTGAAAAATGGCCGTTTTCAGGCCGTGAAGACCAGCTGGCCAGCGCGCATGAAGAGCAGCTGGCGACGGCATGCATGCCCACAGAGAGGGCTCTGCGTGCCACCTCTGGCATACATGCCATAGGTTTGCCATCACTGATGCAGACCCAGCAAATGGAGACTCTTATCAGAATGTATTCATAACAATTAAGTCTGGGTGGAAAAACGCCACTTCGGGTGCCTTTTTTCTGACATACTAAACCTGTTTTTAATGCCGAAATAATGCAGGTCAACGGAGACAAGAAAAATGTGGCAGACAGGAAGGATTCTTCTGAAAAGGGTAAGCGTCGTTTCTCACCAATCCTTAAAAAGTAGGGACCACAAGTGAAAGATGTTCAAGAGACATATTTCGGAGAAACATCTTAGATCTCTGATTGCCCCTAAAAGTTAGTGGCTTCCCTTGGGGAAGGAAATACCCACCCCTTCCTGATTTAGACTGAGATCTCTTTCACAAGATCAACCTCAGAGAGCTATTTTGCTATAGCAGCAGTGATTTTGATTTCCATACAGCCATGGAAAACAGGAGAAACATGCATTCCACCATGGGCTCCCAAAATGTCTGTTTAAGACAGGGGTCGGCAACCTTAAACACTCAAAGAGCCACAAAGGTCCTAACCGGAAGCCCCCCATTCAATTCTTGAGCCAATTGGAAGCCTCCTCCTAGCACTGCATCCTTTTTTGTCTGCCCACCGGAAGTCCGAGTCTTCTCCTAGCATGGAGGAGTCCTTTTTACTTTTGCCGACAGGGAGCCGCAGCAGAGGGATGAAAAAGCCACATGCGGCTCCGGAGCCGCAGTTTGCTGACTCCTGGTTTAAGATATTTCTTCAGCCATTCGTAATGGCTTCCTTGGGTAGATGGTCAGGATCCCACTTCTTCTACTACCTGCGTGATGAGAGAAGATCATTTTCTTTCCTTTGTTTTCAGTTTCCATGGCTGTAGAAAGCATGGTAATGCCAGTAGTGGAGGAATGGATGAAACTAATGGTTTAGCCTATTTTCGCAGTGGGCTTTTTTGAAACTTGGATGGTTTTCTTAATTTTTTCTAAAAGATCACGTTCCTATTTTGCTTCTATTTTGGGAATCTCCCCCTGCATTCCCACACCTACCACCAAATTTTGATGGTGTGCACACTGCTGACATTTGAAAATTCACGGTGGAAAACTTTGAGATACAAAACAAATACTGTATAATTCTCAGAATTCCAGCTCCAGCTTCACATTCGTTTTAACCATTTTTAATTATTTGTCCTTGCCAATCATGTAAACTTGTAGCCATTTTTAATAGTTATTTAGTTACAGACAGAGGATAATTGGAACTGCAGAAAATACAATTACTACCAATCTGTTCTGTTCTGTTCTATTCTATTCTATTCTGTTGTATTCTGTCCAGTGTAAAACTAGTGACTGTTGCCGAAAGGAATGCTGAGTCATATTATGAATAAAACTATACCGTTCATTTCATGGAGGAAGTTCGTAACTCATTGTAAAAACTTAGATCTCGCAGTTTTCAAAATTCATTCTTAAAATTGCCTGCCACCTTTGATTAGTTTTGGTAAATGATTTTTTCCGTCTCTTTTTTTTTTTTTTTTTGTAAATGTGTTTTATTTTCCATTTCATTTCGTACAG